TCCCTACCAGAACCCCATCCGCTGCCAGTCTGTTCTGTCAACAGAACAGGCTATTCTGTAAATCTGGTACTTAGTTTAAAAAGCTAAAAACCAATACAGTCTATTCACCCCCCTCTAGACTGTATCCAGTACAATCGGGACCAACACCAACACTAACCTTGGATCTAGAGTTTGTTTGCTACAGTAATGTGTATAAAAGAAATATAAAAACTCATAGATTCACGCAAATAGTCTTGCTTGTATTAAAGCAGTAATAGTGATTACACGGAAATGGCCGAACGGTAGTTACGGCCCAAAGGTTAATACAAGAGCTACAATGCAATATAAGCTTGTGAGTAAATAAAATCTAACACTTACAATGAATTAAATGATGCTATTTATACTAGATGGAGGTATGTGAGGGGTATGGGGTGCTCTAATATGATTGGTTGCCTCCCATGCCACTTGAGGCCTCCATGATGATCTAGCATTAACTACAGTCCGTCACTTGAGCAACTCTCGTTCGGGATTAAGCCCAGCTAAGCCATCAATTAGAGAATAAACTAACTGCCCAAGTGCTAATTATACCCCCCGTTCGGGATATGCTGAACGGGTCTTGCCATTCGGGCCTGATGATTTTCCCTAGGCCTTCCCTTGCATCTGGGCTTCAGGGGATATTTTTGGGGTGTTGTATTGGGCCGGACCTCAATATCCCATCCCGCCATATATGGCGTACGCCAATACTTGTGCCATCTTCTTTTCTTTTCTTTTTTTATTTCAAATGTGACCCAATGTTTTGATTATTATAGTTTTGACCCATTTTTAGAACAACAAATTATAGAACAACAAATTTAAATTATTAATTTGGTAGAAAATAAAAAAAATATACTACCTCCATTCTCTTTTAAATGCAACATTGGACTTTTTGCACTATTCATGTATTCTACTTTGACTCTATTTTTTTATTAATGTATTATAAATTAAATTCAAAAAAATATTGTTAAATTCCTCTCATTTTAAATTTTCAAAATCTAAACTTTTTATTTTTTTGCTAAACGAATAAAAGATATTAATAGTCAAACTTGTGTGTTGACAAACGTGAAAAGTGGACCGTAGCAATTAAAAAAGAGGGGAGGAAGTATAATAAATAAATTCACACAATATTAAAAATAAAATTTCAAATCGAAACACCATAATAACATAATACAAATGATACTTATGAAAATAACATGATTAAAATTACAACTAATAACACCATTAAAATATAAAAAAAACATTATTCAAATCAAACATAATACATACTAATTTATAAGTCATACTAATTGTCGTTGTTAACTAACTTAAGCAAAACAAGTAGTGTCTTCATCGTTTTTCTAATTATTGATAGAGAATCATTACTAATCAATAACTCGTTCCAAACAGCTCACAAGTTGATAGAGAATCATTACTAATAAATAACTCGTTCAAAACAGCTCACTAGTTTTTTGATGAATTGTTTGGGGTGGTTCCCAGTGAAATTTTTTTATGAATTTGTTTTTGCATCTTCTTCATTAAGTCTAGTTTACCCATACCAAAATTTAGATAAAAATTCAACCGAGAAGATAGTCAAATGATTTTCTGAAATGTACTGTGCTGTTTAACTGCACGGTTATCTTCAAAAATTCATTTGACTGCCTTCCCGGTTGAATTATTAGCTGAAATTTGGTATGAGTAAACAAGACTTAATGAAGAAGATGTTAATAAAAAATCATCAAAAAATATTGAATATATATAGAAGTATTTTAGTTTATAATTGTAAAATAATGTGTGAAATGACAAAATACATACTAAATGAGAGGCTAATGTATAAATATCTGATATTACATAATTAAATATAATAAAGGTAAAAAGTAAGTAAAAAGAATAAAAAGGGAATATTCCTTTTTGGTGATAAAAATGGTGTAAACTGTTGGAGATAAAATATTGTATGATGTGATGTTTATGTTAGGAATATTTTATGGTGTCCAATCTAATTAAATATCTTTGTATTTGTGTAGTTATTAGTTACACGTCTAATATGGGCCACAAATGTGTATAAGCCATTAGCTTCTTTGCAATTCATAAGTTAGCTAACTTCTTCTATAAAAGGAGGCTAACTTATGGAAACTAAAAGGTTTGCTAGGCTTAGAGAGCATAGAGGCGAGATAGAGAGAGTAGGTTTTACGCTGCTCTCCTTCTCGAGGGAGAGCAGCGGCCATTCATACGGTATACCAGATTCGTTGTTCATCTTCATATCTATCTATCTGCTTCTTCTTCACTGCTTAGATTGTTTGTTTGTTAAAGCTAAGGGACTATCAATTGGTATCAGAGCAATGTCGATTCAACATGATTGGACACCATAAATATTCCTAACAATATCCTCCTTGATGTTCAATCGTGTTGAATCAGTATTGCAGCGCATATATCTTTGTCTTTGTTGTTATTCAGCTTCCTTTGTCTTTGAACTTGACTTCTTGAGAAGGTTTTCTGAAGAAATCCTTGCAATCTCCCCTTTGATGTCTTCTTGGCAATTTGAGCTTCGATATCAGGGTTTGAGGAATCTTCCTTTGGCTTGCTTGTAAACCTTGCCTTCAGAAGTAGCTCTTGTTTAGCTTGAATGAAGTCCGGTTGCGCCGCCTCTAGAATGAATGTTCTTGAAGAACTACACACGCACATGGAAATTATCTTCAAAATTCGAGTATGTGACCTTTGTCTCCTCCAAATTGTAGTCTTTTTAACTATTCAAAGTGATTGCGTTTGAGGAGACCTTATCGGTGGCACAACGGAAAAATATGGTTGATTTGTGAGCGTAGCTGACCATTTGAGGTGTAGAGATAGAAGAGAGTCGTTGAAATTTTTGATAGGAGAGAAGTGACCCAGAATGATTTGGTGACAAGTAACAACATGTGGACCACTCACTGATTACAATCTCGAGGTTTAAACCTCGAGAGTGTAATCAGTGGTCCACATGCTGTTAAATGGTCAGCTACGCTCACAAGTCAACCATATTTTTCCGCAGTACCACCGACAAGGTCTCCTCAAACGCATTCACTTTGAATAGTCAAAAAGACTACATTTTGGAGGAGACAAAGGTCACATACTCGAATTCTGAAGATGATTTCCATGTGCGTGTTTAGTTCTTCATTCTAGAGGCGGTGCCACCGGACCTCATTCAAGCTAATCAAGAGCTACTTCTGAAGGCAAGGTTTACAAGCAAGCCAAAGGAAGATTCCTCGAACCCCGACATCAAAGCTCATTTTGCCAAGAAGACATCAAAGGGGGGATTGCAAGGATTTCTTCAGAAAGCCTTCTCAAGAAGTCAAGTTCAAAGACAAAGGAAGCTGAACAACAACAAAGACAAAGATATCTGTGCTGCAATTCTGATTCAACACGATTGAACATCAAGGAGGAGATTGTTAGGAATATTTATGGTGTCCAATCTAATTAAATATCTTTGTATTTGAGTAGTTATTAGTTAAACGTGTAATATGGGGCACAAATGTGTATCAACCATAAGTTAGCCAACTTCTCCTATAAAAGGAGGCTAACTTATGGAAACTAAAAGGTTTACGAGGCTTAGAGAGCATAGAGGCGAGATAGAGAGAGTAGGTTTTACGCTGCTCTCCTTCTTGAGGGAGAGCAGCGGCCATTCATACGGTATACCAAATTCGTTGTTCATCTTCATATCTATCTATCTGCTTCTTATTCACTGCTTAGATCATTTGTTTGTTAAAGCTAAGGGACTATCAGTTTACACCATTTTAGTGCAAAAAATGGTGTAAATTATTGGAGATGGCCTAATGTAGTTTTTGGTCTAGACCCTAGTGGTCAATATGCTTCTTCTCCCTATTGAAATTTATGGGTCAAATTCATAAATGGTACCTTAACTATTGGTAATGTTGTATTTTGGTACCTTAACTCTTAACTGAATCAAAACGGTACTTTAACTATACATAAATATTTCGAATTGAGATTTTATTTAAATTTCCGACCAAAAAATCACATGGGGCAGCAAAAATTCTATGCGTAAAGTCTACTTCACCTTATTTTTGTTCATATGATCACTATATGGTGACTGTACACATGGAATTTTGATCATCATAAAAGATTTTTTGGTCGAAATTTTGAATAATATCTCGATTCGGAACATTTATGTATAGTTAAGGTACCATTTTGAATCATTTAAGAGTTAAGGTACCAAAATGCAACATTACCAATAGTTAGGGTACCATTTATGCATTTGACCCGAAATTTATAAAGTTCTCGTTGAAGTCACTAAATAGACTAATTCTGTTAATTTAAGGGAAAAAATGTTTATAGTATTTATTTTTAAAATTAAATAAAGATAAAGATATATGAAAAATAGCTAAAATTATCCTTTATATTAACTTCAACCAATACAATCAGAAAATTACTTAACCTTATATTTTCTTATTATACGAAATTTAGCGCGCGATCCAAAGTTATGTGTTTGATAAGAAATATGAATGATAAGTCAAATAAGCCAAAAAATAGGATCCCCTCTAATGTAACAAACTAGCGAAGAAGTTATCACATTATGATCTTTCCAATAAGATGGAAAACGCGGCAAACGAAATAAAATATAGAAAGACATAATCACATCAAAAATCTACATCAAAATCAGTTAATTAAATAACCATTTCATAAGATAATGAAAGCGATGCTTGAATACAAATTTTAAAATTGGATAAGATTTTTCAATAATAGAATAACAATTAGGTTCTACGAGTAGGTAACTTATTTAGCGGACCTACAAGAACAGTGGGCTTGCACTTGGATTAATTGTGATGAACCGAACACGTACCTGCTCTCTTTTACATTCATTATCACCATTCACCAACATGAGCCATGGGCACACGTTGCTTACGTGTTCATTACTGGTCTAGCCGGTTACAGGTCACTCCAATCAATCACTTTATTCTTTCATGTGTATTCCTTTATTTAAGCCTCACATATGGAATCAGCATTCCTTTCATTCACTCATTCGCGGATGCCGCATTTTGTCCTCGCTTCTTTACAATATTTACCTTTATACCATTCATTCTTGTTATGGTCGCTGACGTGTGCCGGGAGCTTGCTTGCGTTTCTCGTCGCCGTTTCCGGCGGTATTCCGATCTCGATTTCTGACGCACAGAAAATTAGTGAATCAGACGCATCGGATCCGATGCCGAGTCCGAAGAGCCACCGGAGAGGAGGAACGGAGGAGAAGAATAGGAAGGGAAAGTTGGCCGAGAAAGCGATGTCCTTCAGCGGACAGAGCGGAGCCGGAAGCGCGGCGGAGTTGCTGCACAGGCCGCGGACGGTGCCGGACTTACTCGCCGGCCGGAGAACCTCTTCATCGCCGAATTCGGTACAGTTTCCGCCGAAGCTCACGAAGTTGCTGCTGAACGTGACGGTGCAACGGAGCACCGGCGCCTTGCACGTGTTGATTTCGCCGGATTCAACGGTGGAGGACCTAATCGCCGCCGCAATCCGGCAGTACGTGAAGGAAGGGCGGAGACCGGTTCTTCCCTCAAGCAAAGCCGCCGATTATGGGCTCCATTACTCGCAGTTTAGCTTAGAGAGTAAGCCACATACGCCGCCCTACCACCACAAAAAGTGTCAAAATAGTTAGTTTCAAAATGATTTTTTTTGAGAGTAAGTTTCAAAATGATTTTGATACCAATTTTACATATTCATGCCTAATTGTTTATTACTAATTCTACCACAAATCTGGGTGAATTCCGTGTTTTTTTTAGTATATACTCCTTTCCGTGAAATAATTCACACTTTTTTAGACCGTTATAAAAATTGTTCTCATTTTTCTTTGGAGAGTTTTGTGTGACAATAATTCATTTACGTTTTTCTGACCCAATCATAATCATACATTTTCACTTTATTCTCACTTTTTAAAATTGAGACTCAAATCAAAGTGAAAACTATTTTATAGGATACAGATTGTATAAATAAAAGTTTGTGAGATCTAAACTACTCCCTCCTTTTCGATTTATTTGCAAAATGAATGTCACACTTTTTTATTTCCGATCCCTATTAGATAAAAAATCAATATCAAAAAAGTTCAAAAAAGTGTCAAAATATTGTACTCTGCCTCACTAATTTTTTTTCATAAAGTCAAAATGTGTCAAACAAATTGGAACCGGACATTAAAAGTTTCGATTCTTCAAATCGGAGCGAGAACAATTTTACACGGAGTATCAAGTTGGTAATATGAATAAACGTTTGTCAAAACAAAAATGATGTTTGTACACACTCTTATACACACTTTTGTACACACCTATGTATGTGAAAGTTTTTTTTTGTCAGTGAACATCGATTCACAGACAATGTTTTGCACAAACAAAATATTATTTGTGAAGCGGGTTCACAGACAAAAAAAAAACTTCACAAACATGTGTATAAGGTGTGTACAAGAGTGTGTACATCAAGCATGATTGTTGTCAAAAAACTTTTGTGATTTTTTTTTTTTATGAATAAACGTTTGTGAGATCTGAACCTTTAAAAGTTCTGATTGGACCATTTTTTATTTGATGTGGGCCAGGTTTGGACAGGAAAGAGAAGCTGACTAACTTGGGATCACGGAACTTCTTCCTGTGCCCGGAAGTGGAAGCCGCCGGCCGGGAAACGACGTCGTCTTTATCTGGCAGCTGTTCCAAGGAAGCTAGCAATCCAGTGACAAAAGTTGGATTATCATGGTTCAAATTCATGCTCTGAACTCTGAAGAGCTAAAACTGGCAGACTTGTATATATACATACGTATATTTTCTAGAAGAAAGCATAGATTAGTCATTAGTGTTCCATGACTATTCTGACCATAAAAACGATTGGTCTTTCCTCCGTTTCACACTTCACAGTACTACGAGGTTTGGTTTGGCTCTTCGTTTTGCGACACTGGAAATTTTGGTCCCAAGTTCCAACCAATTACATATTGTGGTCGGTCAAATGTGAAAATTGCAAATTTCTTTTTTACAACCTGCATTTAGATTATAGGGGTTTTTAATAGAGAAAATTATCACGTGTATAACTAAAAGACTCCATCTTTCCTCATCTATGACCACATCAACTTTTATCCTTATTTTATGATTCACATGCTACATGCCCATCTACGTGTTTTTTTATTTTTATTCTAATCCCACAAGTGCCCTCCTTTATGATTCATCCTAAAAAAAGAAGTTGATTACATGCCTGGCGCACGTATTGGAATAACCGTTTAGAAACTCCACCGGTTACATAATTGAATTAAATGAATAAGGAAACTCACTGTTTAGAGACTCCACCGGCATAATAACACTTCAATTAATTTAATACAAGGAAGAGATCCCTACAAGGAAACTATTTCCATTACTTATTCACAATCTTTATGCGCTACACGTTTCTATTCATCAAGCGGAATTAAATCTTCTTCATCGACTCTATTCTCCAATTCGCATTACACTCGGTTGACTGAAGCATTAACAATGGATTCCGCATTCGGCATATGTTACCCGGAGATGTGGATAATGATTAAATATGATGGCCAATGGGTGTCAGATACTTTGTTCTCTAGTATTCATGTTGCCGGCATAACTATTCCATTGAACTGTACGTTTCAATCTCTATATTCTCATGTTTTCACAGCTATGGGTGAGAATTTCGCTGGAAAGAATATTAAGATTTCATACGTTTTTGCTACCTGCCCACCTCCCGTTAATGTATGTGATGACGATAGTCTACACTTTTATCTACAATTGAAAAGTTTTCAAAAGGACCCGATGCAAATGTCGTTGTGTGTTGAATTTTTCTCCGGTGAGGAGGTCGATGCTACGAGTGGAGAGGAACAATGCATCACAGGAGGTGTTGACATTGACAATGAAAGTGTATTTAATCATTCGAGTGAAGTGGAAGAGCGTGGTGGCTGTGAGCGTGGTGGGTGCTGTGGCGAAGACAATAATTTCACTCACAGTCTTGATATGGACTTTGAATTTGAGCATATTTCGAGTGTCAACCTTATGAGGTTAAATTCTCGGGTTGATGAAGAGATTCATAATATGCCCGTACACAACCATTTTGAACCCATGCACATTGCATTGATTAGTATCTATGGAAGCAAGAAGGAACTTAATTTTCACCTAAAGATGTATGTCATTACCAACTTCTTTCAGTATAGAACGAAGACATCTTGCCCGAAGGTTTTGCATGTTGTGTGTGTTGACCCCGACTGCAAGTGGGCTGTGCGTGGTGTGCGCATTGACGGAGTGTCACTGTTTCAAGTGAAAAGGTATGCAGTCATTTCTCCAAGTTACATGACATGCATGTCTATTACTGCCCTAATGTGTATTATTAAAAAACAAATATTTGAATTGTCCACAATATACAAAATTAATGGCCTTATGATGTTCTTTTATTGTGTCACTGTTTTGTTGTTTTAAAAAAAATGTATAAGGAAAATGAAATCAGTATTGTAAGTCGGACATATGCTTTAATGCCCTGTATTCAGCTCTTATAATGCCCTGCGTTTGCATTAAGTTCTGTTCATAGGTTGCAATGCCCTTGCGTGTGCATTATAAATTTGATTGTATGCGAAGAGTATTCTTTTAACGACATGTTTAATGCACTCTGTGCATTTACATTTAATACAATATAATGCTTGAAAGTTTACGTAATGCCACATCGCACACTGCACCTTGTGCTTTGTTTTTAATGCCCTCTTTGCACTACTATATTATTATGTACGCTATTCATATGATTTTTCAGTATATTGCCTAATTATATCAACATATACCTAAAAATATTCTTTACTTGTTACTGTTTTTTTTCGTCATACATGTTGTGTCCCCCCCCCCCCCCCCCCCCCCTAAAAATTTCCATAAATTGCTTCACTGCCCATAAATTAATGCCCGTCATTAAACATGTTTTTCCAGATTTGACTCTGAGCACACATGCCCCATTGATGTACGTCAACGAAATAGCCGTCAGGCTACGTCCAGGATTATTGCCGAACTTATCAAACATGAGTACGGTGATGCATCCAATAAGCCATACCCTCCAAAATCAATTATGCTTGATATGCAGACCAAATACAGCATTTACATGTCATACAAAAAAGCATGGATTGCCAAAGAATTGGCAATGGAACTGGCTATGGGATCCGAAAAGGATTCATATGCACGCTTACCTTCAATGTGCCATGTGCTTGAAAGGAGTAACCCAGGTTCTATAGTTTCTTATTCGTGCAAGGAAAATGGTGAATTTCATAATTTTTTCATGTGCCTTTCTGCATGGAGGGAAGGTTGGATTAATTGCATTCCGGTTATAATTGTGGATGGGTCTTTTTTGAAGTCGTATTATAAGGGTACATTACTCACTGCATGTACACAAGATGCAAACAAACAAATATTTCCATTGGCATTCGGTATTTGTAGTGGAGAAAATACTGAAAATTGGTCATGGTTCTTCAGCATGTTGAAGCATTCGCTAATGCATAGAGATGATCTATATATTGTTTCTGATCGGCATGAGGGCATTATTACATCTGTGCGTTCTGTATTTCCTCATGCGGAGCATGGTTACTGTGTGTACCACATATTGGCTAATTTGAAAACAAGATTTCGTGGCACTCAAAAAACTGTGTCATGGAAGTTTTTGCAGGCTGCTCGTGCTGGATCTGTGTATGAGTGTGAAGAGTACCTTCAAATGCTGGATAGTGAGGATCCACGCATTCGTACGTATTTAGAGCGGATGGGCCACCACAAATGGTCTCGTGCTTATGCAAGTCGAAATCGGTACTCGGTCATGATGTCAAACAATGCGGAGTCATTAAATGCAGTTAATGCCACTTCCCGAGAATACCCAATTTGTGAACAACGAGAATCTTCAGCATCAAACAATTGCCATTTATCAGCACACTTTGAATCTGAACTAGCAGTTTTACAAGCTATGGCAGCCGTCATGAGAGTATTGCCCTCTAATCATTGTCTTCATTGCACTGATTTTTAAAAAAGTATACTAACTTCATGTGCTATTAAATTACCGTTATTGCTTCAAATATTTAATTATAGTTTTTAATGTGTAATAATAAATTGTGCAGGTAAAACTATCATGCGCTTTTGAGTTCGAGTTGTTTGATAAGAGATCCCGCTCTTATGTTGTCAACTTGAAGGAGCGGACGTGCACTTGTCGCGAATTTCAGCTGTATGGGTTTTTATGTGTACATGCCGTTGCAGCTATTCGCTCTCGCCCAGGACTTTCTTGCTACGATTACATTTCAGAATTCTATACAGCACATCATTGGGAACAAACATACCGTGCTATTATTCATCCTATTGGGAGTCCGGATGGTTGGATGGTACCTTCACATGTTAAGGAAATTACTTGCCGCCCCCCATCATGTGAATCATGACCTCCTGGAAGGCCGAAGAAAAGAAGAATTCCTTCTACAGGAGAACATGTTCAAAGACAAAAATGCACTCGTTGCCTCATGGTTGGACACAATAGAAAGACTTGTAGGAATCCTATTCCGCTACATATGCGTTAAAACATGTTTTTAATTATTTGTCGTTTTCATTGCAATGCACTTTGTCGTACTTTTATTCAGTCACTTTGTTATTCATTGTTAATTTAATGCTATGAATGAATGGCGCTTCGTTATTCATTGTTAATTTATTTCCTTAAATATAATATTACGGGTTAATTTTATGATATATTAATTATGTTATTGTCTCAATTTTCTCAGACTGAGTATCATTTCGTTAATGTACTGCCTTAAAGATATTAATTATATCTCAAACTCACATCATCAGTGGGCCTCTTACACATATGTGATGTTATGATGTTTATGTGTATGTCATGTATGAGTAACTAACGGAAATAAATTTGATACAGATTTTGGTGTTGGGAGTTACTAGGCAACACGCGACAAGTGGGGTTTGTTCAGGCCTAGCATGTATTGAAATGTTTCAGGGCAATTGCATTAGGGCATTATTGGGGGCAAATGCAATACGGCATTGTTGGGGGAAATTGATGTAGGCCATAATGTGCACTTGTTGCAGTAGGGCATTAATGTGCGATTTGCACTCTAAGCATAATATCATAAACATAAAATGTAACTACTGCCCTCATTTAACACAACATAAAATCATTGTACTTATAAATTTGGCATCCAACCTCTAACATTTAAATTGTTCTAACAACATCCACCATTCCAAAATAACACATTTAAATTGTTCTAAAAAAATCCACCATTCCAAAACAAAACATTACAGCACTGTAATCGTAACCTAACAATCTTGGTTCATTAGTTTTTCAAGCTTAAGCCTTTATAATACCGAAATGTACTAGCAGCTCAGTAGTCATCTTGATTTGGTATGCATTCATATCTTCTGGTCTCACAAACTCAACATTTATACCCATCATCAAATACTCGGCCATCTTCAAGACAAACATTCCACAACTATCACTGTCCACCAAAAAACAAAATGCTTACTTCCTGATTTCACACTCATTTGGCATTATAACACTTGCATATTTACTGTAATCGCTAAATACGTACCTGTCCTTTTGTTGTGGGCATTCATTCACCATCTGTATTTGCAAGAAGTCTTCACCCATCGGACCCTCACTTCGCTCATTGTACACTCCTAGCTTATCCATCACTTTAGGTAAAAACATTTGAATGCACGGTAGATAATGATGAAGGTGGATGTTTGTTTCACCTCGCCGAACTAGAGAATCATACACCCGTATTGATTTTCCACTTATGTCCAGTACCAGAAGGATCCAGTGGTTACCATTATTCAACGGCATGTACACAATGTCCGCTTCTGCCCATGACAACGCGTAGTCCAAACGTGTCCCAAGTATGATACCCATTATATTCCTGTTTAAAGCAATGTCTGCCACTGTCATTACACCGTTAATGTGTGTATTGTAATGCTATTTCAGCAAATGCATAAACATTGTGTCTGCAGTCGTGAACTTTTGTTGCAACTGGTATTGCTCAGCTTTCATCCTTAAGAAGTACATCCCCATCTCCACATGCTTCAAAAAAAATTAAGCATTGCATCCACTTTATTAATCATAGTCAAGTAATAATACCTCATA